TTTAATTTGAGTGAAGTTTGTTTTTAAGATGAAAATGTGTTTGGACATCAGTTCTCAAAATATATTTCACTTTCTTTTTAAAAAAACATGAAACATGATTTATACCGACAAGTTCTAAAAATTATCAGAAATACCCAACAATACCTTCACCAATAATATTCATTATCATTATCACAAACCATAGTCCTGAACATAAATAAATTTGGCACAAAACTATCATTTTTATAATGAACTACATAATACACATTCAGATGACCGAGAAGACGAATCAATATTGTTACAAAATAATAAATGGTGTGCTCTTTTATAAAATACAAAAGTTTGGGACAATTTTTAAAAATATAGTAATAGTAATATTTTGGATTTGGTTTTGGGATTTGGGTTTTGGGTTTTGAGAATTTACCAAAATATGGATAAAATTTATGAACAAATATGTATTTGCCAAAAAAAATTTGGAAAAAGTTTGGCAAAATCTATGACCAAACATGTATTTTCTAAAACTTTCTAGAAAAATTGTAAAACTGATTTTTGGAATTGTCAGTTTCTGAAAAATATAAAAATAATAATTTAAAATCTTCAAATAATAATTTTTAAAAATTAAAAATTAGCTCGAAAAAATATTTTCACTTTAGCTGATGTCACCGGAATTTATCACAGTTAAAAAAGGAGCATCATCCTATCCAAAAGGAAACATTGGCTCAGTGCCACAACCTCATCTCCAATTTCTGAAATGGCAGTCTCATCCATAGCCAATCTCTTCTCCTTCTTCACCCCCTCCAAACCCCCACCCCCCAAAGCTTCCCCCCTCCAATTCTCTCTTCCCGCTGCTGATTCCCTCTCTTCTTCAACACCTATCAACAATCACAAATACCCGTTATCACTATCGTCTTCTAATTCTGATGTTACGGCCGTCGTTTGCCCCTCACTTGCAAATGCAAACACCCTTTACTTCAGGTCGGGATACAATGTTCAGGTAATTGTGGATGATAATGAGCACGAAGAGAAGCTTGTCGGACGGTTTCGTAGGGAGGTTATGAGAGCTGGAGTCATACAGGAATGCAAGCGTAGGAGATATTTCGAGAACAAGCACGACAAATTGAAGCGCAAGTCACGTGAGGCTGCTAAACGCAACCGCAAGAGGTGCTTCTCTTATACCCTTTCCCCCCATTTTGCCTTTCAAATCCGTGTTTGTCTCCTTTGTGTTTTTGCTTTTTTTTTCTTCTCCATTAATTAACAAGAAATGTTCAATGCTACTTTTTTTCGGAGTTGGGTATTTCTGGTTAGTTGAATGTGCTGATGGTATTAATTCAAATCTATCAACTACCTCTATTTGGGCCACAATTCGAATCATTAAGTTGTGTTGGATATCCCACATCGGTGGGTTGTTGATCCTTTGGTCGCCTTATATGGTGTTGGGCAATCTTTATTTCATGAGCTAGCTTTTGGGTTTGAGTTAGGCCTAAAGTTTATTTTTTTAACAATGGTATCAGAGCCAAGTTTACCCAATTTTTGTTTCACCCGATGTTGTGCCCCCATATTATGCTTTTTATGCTCCACTTGTCAGGCCTAAGCGTGGGGGTGTTTGATATCCCCATTGGTGGAGTGTTGAACCGGTCTCCTTATATGTTCTTCGGCAATACTCATCTCTTGAGCTAGCTTTTAATGTTGAGTTAAACCCAAAATCCATTCCTTTATTATGGTATTGGAGCCATGTTCACCCAATTCTTGTTTGACCCGATGTTGGCCCCCATATTATGTTGTCCACGCTCAAGTTGTCATGCCTAGCATGCCAGAGAGTGTTGGATATCCCACATCGGTGGGGTGTTGGTCCTTTGGTCTCCTTACATGATCTTGGGCAATCTCACCTCTTGAGCTAGCTTTTGGGTTGAGTTAAGCCCAAAATCCATTTCTTTATCAAGTTGTCTTATATTCTATCAAAGTGTCACAACCCAAGCCCATGGAGTGTATTGTCTGATTTGGTCACAAAATTTTCCCATAAGCTACACCATCAATGAGTCCTAAAGCGCACTTACCACGTGAACTTGCGCTCTGTCTTATATTGCACATCACTTTTCTCTCTTTTTGATGTGGGATTTGCCTAAGGTATCAGGTGCACTCCTTTTGTGAGGCTTGTCAACCCAATTTTGACCATTCCTCGTCAGTCTACCTTTGTCATGGGCATCACATGAAGTCTCCTATGTCATAACTATAAAGCTAACCTAATAGTCTCAGCAGTTATAAAGCTTCAATTTGGTATTGCCAGTCAAATTCGAAGGCCTCAATATTATGTCTGTGGCAGTAGAAGCGAATTCTGCTAGCTCCTTGTTATATCTAAATTGTGGTAGGGTGTCTTAGCTTCAAAAGCCTGGTTCTTTATAATAAAGTATTGTGCTTTCAAGCTTGAAAGAGAAGCAGGCTATGCGTCCTTTGTTTATTGGCGTTTGTTTTCTTGGTTGCTAGTTTTGTCATCCACAAAATGTCGAATTGCTAATTTGTCAAACTAGTGATTTAGAATGAGACTTGATCCATCAACCCTTTCATATCAACCTTTTCTAATTTTATGGTTTAGAAGATATTCATAAATTACGATCATAATCCAACTATTAATTTTTTGGATAAATAACTTAACTGCAAACTTTATAACATCCATTTTGAATTACTATTATAATTTTCTATCATTCTTACGTCTCTTTTATTGGAATAGACGTGGCCCACCAAGAAATTTCTCAGATGATAAGCAAGAGGCATCTAAGAACAAAAGGGATGACGAAGGGGAAGATAACTGGGAACTTCCTGATGGAGGTCTTCCCTATTGATTTTATTGTAGTTTCTTTTTCCTTTTTTTTTTTGGGGTCCTGTAGAAATGTAGTTTATTTCCACTTTGGAGAATCTATTCATGTAATTCCCCATGGGAATCATTTTCCTTGATTTTTCCAACTGCATTTACCTGATTCCGTTGATACTATATGCTAGTGAAGATGTAATTGTTAAGCCTGCTTCATAGTGTACGAGCTTCTGCTTGCTATTTCATGTTTTTTATCTCTTCAACTACTAGTTGATAGGAGAGAACACATCACATATTAGAGCGAACATCATTGCAAGTTAACAATGCTGTCGGTATTTATGATGGACTTGACAGTCTCTGTCCTGGCCAGAGCGAGATGATGAATCTGCAAAATCATCCTAGGGGATATTTATTTGATCCTCTCAGCATGTTATTTGGATAATTGGTTTTCCGAATATGATACTGTTTGCCCCTTTTTAGCACAAGTAAATGATCATATTAATTCTTGAAAAATGAGAATATTGAAACTGAGAATGAATTTGAGAGAAGAATACTTGTTTTCTGTTGTTACGACAGTCCAGATTGAGTTGAAGTTAAACGACATTGGTGTTCCAGTTAACATCAAGGAGACAGTAAGAGTTAGTGATGTTCCTCTTCACAGCCTGAGCTAAGTGTTCTACTTGAACTTCTGTCGTTTATAGCCAGATCCAGAATTTAAGTTATATGGTTTCAACGTTGAAGGTTATTAGCATCGAACCATTGTATCTTTAAAATTATGAGTTCATATTTGCTATTTGTTGCAATTTTATTGGAATTTAAACATAAATATACGCTCCTCGTCGAAAGTACTGGGTTCAAGTTAAATGAACTCGGTACCAATGCTGCTATGGTCTTTTGCCTAAGCGGAAGGACTCATAAAGTGTTGTATTTATTTTTTGGTCATCTTCTCACTGTACACTGCAGAATCTCTGTGTGATTGTCCTGCGGAAGAGGTTTTAGAAAGGACAAGAAGGGTCCATATGAGCCAGAGTTGTGCTAGTCAGAGAAATGAGAACAACAAGACTAAATTAGGTGGTCGGTTGAACAAGATGTGAACTGCACATAGTGTTTTTTTCGTGTTAATATCTATCCTTTTGGGCGTCCAGAAATTAGTTAGACGGCTACCCTAATAAATTAACTTTTCGTTTCAAACCTATTTTATAAAGTAATTATGTGTGGTGGTTCAAAGTCAATCTCACAAGATCCTGGACGGTTTAGTATATGCCATTACAAGCAAAACAAACAAAGAAAAAGACCACGTACAATCACGTTGCAAATTTAAATAACAAAAGGAATATATTTAATTGCTTTGAACAAGGAAGAGATCTAGTTTTAAAACTAAATGGAGGGTATTCTAATTATTGGCGTGTTTCAGCAAGCTCTAAGATGCCATAGACAATGTCATTGACTTTATGTGGCAAGATAAAGTGCCTTCGAAATTAAACCACCATTATTATTTGGATAAACATGTTTTTTATTTATTCCAACGACTTTGGATAGACATCTTTAATCAACTTCTATTTTTATATGCAAAGTATATCTTCTCTAATTCTTGTGGTATTACAAGAAACTGGAATTTTCCAGCCACAAACTAAACTGAGATTAGGATAGTAGTGGGGATTGCTAACGTAACCGTCCAAAATGATAGCCTTCGGATAACATCGACTTATTTTTTAACAAAGAAATAAAATAAAATTTTGTGGTAGTCAATACAGCCTTGTAAACATATCATTCCATTGATCAAAAAATAAAGATAAAAAGACCGACATATCCAGGTCCAGATCCGAGTGAAAAGGAAATAATCAATAATTGGCGACTCGACTTTGTTCAATATTCCGATTATTGCAAGTCGCAACTCACAAATTATGATGAGGCCTCTCTTTTCTTTATTCATATTCTTAAGCTGGGAATATATATATATATATATTATACACACACATATTTGTGCTAAAACAATTTTGAAACCACCTTGACGCTATAGTAAAGCTTTCATTGTGTTAAAGCAGATTTAACAATTTATATAAATACAAAATATTATTTTTATCCTATTTGTTCAACATATTTTTTCGATGACAAGAATTTAATTGAAGCCCTTTCACTCATTACATGCATAGCTCTACCCCTACCTTTTCTTTTTCGGTAAATTGAATAATTATATAAATATAATAAAAAATAGTTACACTATTGTTTGAGAGCTACTTCTCTCTAGAGTTGCATTGTCATTGTTTTGCATTACAATGGTATTTTTCCTGATGTTACGTACAAAAACAGTTCCTAGGATGTCTGCCCACATGGCCTTGTTTACAAATATTGGAGGAACTGTCAAAACTTGTGTTCTACCAGACAATTTCCTTGCTGCTCCTTCCTTTGCGAGGAGGTCCGCCACTTGATTCAGCTCTCTGAAATTATGTCCTAATGCTGGATTCCCCAGTTGCTCTATCAATGACCTGTATTCAAAATTAATAGAGTTATAGTGGAGGTTTCTCTCATTTAACATCCTTACAACTTGTTTAGAATCAATGCAAATTTGTAGAGGTGTGAAGTTATGGTCAATGGCTATTTTGAGGCCCTGCCAAAGTGCATAGAATTCAGCCTCTATACTAATAGTATGTGGTAAGCCCCGTATGTATAACACCAAGTCACCCATGTTGTTCCTGAAGACACCTCCAGCCCCTCCTACTCTTGTTTTGTGGCAAGCAGCCCCATCTGTGTTTAGCTTATAGGAGCCAAGCTCCCATTCAATATGTATTGCATTGCTTTCCCCTTTGCTCCTGTGATGGACAACTACATGATAATATTCAGTAGCTCTAGCAATGGTTTGTTTAATACGGGTGAAGTTCTTCTTCTTGTCAAAAACATTATTGTTCCTTGTAAGCCATAGGCTCCAAAAGCAGAAAGGTAGAAGGGATTTCCAGTCGATAGCAGCATTGAAGCGCATGTTCTTGACCTTGTGCCATGTTTGCTCCCAGTGAACCATTGAAAACATAAGGTGTGGATGACAAACTTGGTTTGTACACTCATGTATCAGGGACAACCAGAATGTTTTTGCATTGATGCATTCAAAGAAGATGTGGTTTATGTCTTCCACTCCAGAGGAGCAGAAATAACATATTGGCTTACATTTAAGCATGTGTTGTTTAGGTGCTTAACAGTGGGAAGTCTGTTGTATTGTATCATCCAAGTGATTTTTTTTTCTTATTTGGGACTTTTAGCTTCTAGTCAAAGGAGTCATCTTGGCTAATACTGGGGTTTAGCTCAGAACTAATGAGGCTGTAGGCTAATTTGGAGCTAAAAAGCCCATTTCCATTGAGGTTCCAGATGATTATCCTCAGAGCTGCTAGAAACAAGGATGAAAGTGGAGTGTATAACACTTCTAATACCCATGGGGATGGGGTAGTGAAAAGTATCAAGGTTCCATTCCCAATTGTGGATGATGAAGCTTATCTTTAGGGTCAAGTCAGATTCTAAGAATAGAGTTTACAAAGTTGATATGAAGAAAATACATCTTCTGTTTGAAAAGTACATAAACAGAATTTTAATAATCTAAGGCTACCATGAACAAGAGGAAGCTACAATAGGAACGCAGGTACGCCTTCAAATCCAGCAACCACCTAACGTAGCAACATCAATATCCGGGATCTGCACATAATGTGCAGGAAGTGTAGTATGAGTACAACCGACCACATGTACTCAAAAAGTAACAAACCTAATCTCAGGTTGAAAGTAGTGACGAGCTAAAACATAGGTCGGGTCCAACACCACTAACCAATAGCAGTTCATACAACGTAGATCATATAAACAAGAAAATAATCTCAGAGATAAAAATGTTCCGCTTTTGCACAATTTTCCGAAAATAGTTCCGCTTTTCAAGAATATCAGTGAAAACCCAAATTCTTTATCGAAATCTTCGAAAAAATTATGAGATAGTTTGAAAACTGTAATTTTCCTGAAAAATTCTTTCTAGATAACAAGTGTGAAATACTACTCTATACCCATATATCAAAGTGTGTAAAAAAAAGTCATGAATGATGTGATACCGTACAACATGAGGTAAATGCGTCTCTATGCATGCATGCCATATATGCATGCCAATGCCATGTATCTCATAGATGAATCATGTACTCACACTATCAGAGTACTCAACCTCACTGTATCACATTCTCCACTCATCATACTCAACAACTTGGTACTGTATATGGACCATACGGCCCAGAGAAATCTATCCCGGAACATATACAACACTAATTATAAGTCACTCAGTACCGAGGAAAAAGGACAATCCAACCCTGTGGAGAAATCCATCTCTAGGTATCAAGTACTTCGGACTAATCCTTGTCCAGGGAAATCCATCCCTCAATAACATATAAATGCTCAACCACTCGATACTGTATATGGCCCATGCGGCCCAGGAAAATCCATTCCGGAACATATACATCACTGACTAGAAGTCACCCAGTACCGAGAAAAAAGTGCAATCCAACTATGTGGAGAAATCCATCTCTAGATATCAAATACTTCAGACAAATCCATGTCCAGGGAAATCCATCCATCAATAATATCATCCGCGCCCACTGTGGGTGTGCAGACTCCGGAGGGGCTCCTACAATCCAGGCTCTATAACAAGCCAATCATGGCATAAATCAATATAACATGCTGCGGCGTGCAACCCGATCCCATAACTGTCACTCATAATCAGGCTCTCGGCCTCACTCAGTCATCAATCTTCAGTCTCACCCACAGGCACATAATGTCATAAAAACTGACCCGGAATAATGATATAATGTATCAATAAGTAACAACTGAGACTGAGATATGATATGAATGCATGAATATGATTGAGTACGGAATATCAATGAAATCAATGAGAGGACAGCAAGAAACGACCGTTAGGGGTCCCCATAATATCAACATAAAGCCTAAACATGATATCTAGCATGATGTACAGCTCAATAACTTTATCACATGGTGAAAAACACAATTATCAACAAAGTGGGCCACTAAACAGTGCCCTGAAAACAACAGCATCACAAGTTCACAACTCACAGAGTGCACGCCCGCACGCCCATCACCTAGTATGTGCGTCACCTCAACATCTATTACATAGCACGTAATTCGGGATTTTATACTCTTAGCACTAAGTTTAGAAGAGTTACTTATCTTAAATAAGCCAATTCCAATGTCGGGAAAGTCAACCAATGCTCCAAGAATGTCATCACGCACGTAGCGACCTTCGAACGACTCAAAACTAGCCAAAAGCAACTCAAATGCATCAGATAAAGCCCAAGAAAATAATTTCAAATGATAAAGATCGAATTCTACATCAAATCCCAAATCCGGCAAAAAATCACACCCGGACCCACGCCTTGAAACTCGACAAAACTCACAAAATTCGATAATCAATTCAATTACGAGTCCAACCATACTAGTTTCACTCAGATCCAACTCCAAATTGGTGTTCAAAACTCAAAAATTCATATTATAAAACTATAGGCCAAAATCCGCAATTTTCTCTTTAAATTCATCAACCAATTGCCAAAAATGAAGATAGATTCAGGAAAGATAATCAAAACTGAGTGTAGAACTGTAGAACACTTACCTCAATCCTTGTGATGAAATTTGCTCCAAAAATCACCTCAATCCGAGTCCCACATCTCAAAATATGAAGAAATAACCAAAATCTCGATTTTATAACTTCTACCCAGCAATTTCCGCATTTGCGGTAAAATGTCACATCTGCAACCTACGGTTCTGCGGATAAAGAACTCGCATTTGCGAGAAAATCGCTTCTGCATTGGCCAGGACCGCACCTACGGTCGCGCTTCTGCGCAAGCACCTCCACTTTTGTGGACCTCTACCCCTCAGCGAAAACTCACATCTGTGCCCATCACACCTGCGGAATATTAGTCGCAGGTGCGTAAACACCAGAACTAGCAGCTCCTCAACAATGAAAACATGAAGAATAATTATCCGAACCTCGTCCGAAACTCGCCCGAGCCCCTCAGGACCACATCCAAATATACCAACAAGTCTGATAACATCACACGGACCTACTCGAGGCCTCAAAACACACATAACAACATCGACACAACGAATTACACCACAATTCGAAATCAATGAACTTGAAACTTCAAACTTCCACAGCCTATGTCGAAACCTATCAAATCACGTCCGATTGACCTCAAATTTTGCACACAAGTCACATTTGACATTACGTACCTGCTCCAACTTCCGAAATCAGAATCCGAACCTGATATCAAAAAGTCCACTTCTGGTCAAACTTTCCAAAATTTTAACTTTCGCCATTTCAAGCCAAATTCCACTACGGACCTCCAAATCACGATCCGATGCACTTCGAAGTCCAAAATCACCCAACGGAGCTAACACAACCATCAAAAATTCAATCCGGGGTAAATTACTAAAAAGTCAAACTTGGTCAAACTTTTCAAATTTAAAGCTTCAAGCTGAGAATCATTCTTCCAAATCAATTCCGAATAACCTAAAAACTAGAATCGATGATTCACATAACTCATAGTATGTCATACGGAGCTACTCATGCCCTCAAACAACCGAGCAAAGTACAAATACTCAAAATGATCGATTAGGTCGTTATAATTTGATCATGTGTAGTTTCCTTTTCTTAGTTGTTGTGCCCCATATAAAGTTCCATTGGATTTTGTCTATCTGGTTGGTGATGTGGGAGGGCAACTTTATGTAATTTATCACATGACTGGGGATGCTTCCTAGGCTTGCTTTTGCTAAGGTTGTACGGTCAACCGTGTTTAACATCTTTGTTTCCAGCCAGCCAGCCTAGTATTCATGCTATCAATAATGAATTGAAAGTCTCTATTGGTAGGTCTTTTATGGAAAATGAGGAAACTTAGATACTTATCAAATTCACCATTTTTCCTAATTTCGAGCACTGAGCTACAACTATTAGCCCAATCCTCTTTGCAATTGACTGAGAAAATAACCTTGAATTTTTGGAAGTTAACCTTTTGGCCTGAGGCATTGTTAAACTCTTCTAAGGCTACCAAGATAGCATCATAGTTCTTCTTATTGGCTCTACCAAAGAGTGTGAGATCATCAACAAAGAAACTGTGGGAATTTTTTGGGCCATTCCTGCTGATGGTAATTGGAAGCCAGTCCTTTCTCATGACTGCTTGGTTAATATTCCTAGAGAGCCTTTTTATGCGAATAATGAATAGGTAGGGGGAGATGGGGTCACCCTGCCTGATTCCTCTAGTAGGGTTGAAAGGCTCAGTTTGACTCCCATTGACTGGGATGGATATGGAACTAGAAGAGATGCAGGAAAGGATCAGATTGATCAGTTTAGGTAGAAACTTAAAACATTAGGGAGTCCCTAATGAAAGACCACTCAAGTCTATCAAAGGCTTTCTCTAAGTCTATCTTTAGGAACATGTTAACATTCTTACCTATCATCTTTTGAAGTGGGTGATCTATTCCTAAACAATTATAGCATTATCAGCAGCCTTCCTTTTAGATAGGAAACTGGCCTGTGTGGGCCCAATTATGGTCTGGAGTAAGGGTTTTATCCTATTCACTATGATCTTAATGAAAAGCTTGTACATTATATTACACAATCCAATTGGTTTAATACTCTTAAGCATAGTAGTATTTTGACATTTAGGGATCAAGCACATGAGGGTCCTATTAACTTCAAGGGGCATGGTAGAAGTGGTGAATACCTTCTGACAAAAGTTGTTGACTTGGGTAGATAGGATGTTCCTGTATTTTGGTAGAAAAAAGGGTGCAGCCCATCAAGACCAGGTGCCTTAAAAGGTTTGAAACAATCCATAGCCTTCTTGATTTCAAAGTACCTAAGAGGTTGATCAAGGGACGCTCTCATGCTATCAGTAAGTACTAGTAAAGTGTCCTCACAACAGTTGCTTTTATAGGTAGATGAGGCATGAGATGTGGTGAAAAGGTTTGCAAAATAGCCTCTGGTGGTTTTTTGAT